GCTATCTCCTAAATGAATTCAGTATTTTCACTCATGTAAGTTTGCATTAAGTATTTTCACATCTTCAGCTTCATATTTTTTGTTCGACATAATTTGAACCAGATATTCTTAAAATCGGGTTATTCAGCTAGTTTATTTCCATATTCAAAGGTTATCCTAATCCAAATGTTTTTCACTAGTCTTTACAGTTCTTTACCTTTCACTTCTAATAAACTTTGCGACCTCAGACAACTAATTTTTTCGTAAAGACAATTGATAGAAGGATCTAACTAAAAACAAAATACAAGTTTAAAAATGTAACAGAAAAATATTTAAAAAATAATTAAAATTTATGAAATAAATAAATATAAAATTTTAATTACTTAATTAATGTAAAAATATTTTCTTTAATAATACACAAAAATTAAAGAATTGATATAACCAACACATTATTTACATCCATATATAGTTAAATCACAGGGCGAGGATTCAACTGAGACTTCTAATAAACAAAATTTTCTATTGACCACTTTATCAAGTTACTGTGAATTCAGTTCAACTACTTTCTAACATAAATTCAAAATTAATTTAAAATTTATTACATTTGGTGTTTCAGTGACATTATGCTTCCACGGGCGTTGGTAGAGCCCCTTTGATACAACTGTTTAAAAAATCTTAAGCGAGTAACATTTATGAATTTCATCAAATAATCTGAGTTGAGTATTATAAACCAAATAAAATTTGTCATTGGGAATCGGAAAGCATATTATGTACGAGAAGCTCTGAGTGTTGGAATAAACAATCTAATTTAAAAGTTAAAATATAGATGAGTTTACTTGAGTAATTAAAAAAAAAAGTTTATTTTGGTACAAATTTGAATAACATAAATTAATAATTATTTTTAATGTTTTACTAAAATATTAAACTCAATAGATTGACCTCTATAAAATCCCGCACCAGATGATTTAGTGAGTTAAGAAAATTCTGCATTGGGATAAAAGCAATTCTTTTAATTACAATTGCTTTTTAAAATATAATATAATATAATTAAATTGATAGAAGCGCAACTGTACATGTTCTTGGTAACCTGTCATCAAGAAGATGGTTTTGCAGCTGGAACACTCTGATTAAGTGATCTGTGTCTAATTTATGGCTATGAAACGAATAAAAAAATTGTTTTTCTAATTTATTCATCTTGGTCATCAACCAAAAATAAGTTTCAAATTCATAGTTCACTTTTTCTTATTGGGATTGCTACAGAAATCTATCATCATTTTTTTTATCAGATTCTAGCTAATATCTCCTCGATTGAAACATCTATCAAGAATCAACTAATCAATTCCATAGAAGCTTGATATTATCATTTCAAATTTGTAAGACAGTTTCCCTTGCTGGTTAGATAGTATTAGTAGTAGAAATGAGAATGTGTCTACCTGTAATCCGCACAGGCTGCGTTGCTTGACCAATGCTTCGTAATAGCTTATAGTCCTGCCCCATCAGTTTTAAAAAACGAAAAGAATAACAAGGTCGTTTTAGTAAATTCAACTCAGAAAAAATGGAAATAAACACGTAGCATTTGGTTAACTTGTAAATCAAGATAGGTTCAAAATTAAACAATTTCTTTCAAATCACACAGGTTAAATCACTTATTACACTTCTTTAAACAGTATAATTTATAGGAAATTGACAAATTCAGATGACTTTCCTTTCCATGAGAAATCTAAATACAATAGAAGAAACAACCAGCATCTGGAAGACATGAATCATGAATTCAACAATGAGATATTTCTTGTAGGTAATCACTGCATCCCTTGCTCTAAAGCAGCGATGGTTTCAGTGTCATCTTATTCAATTTTCACCTTTATATATAATGAGTTTCCATCTTTATATTTTTTTAATGGACTTCCAATAACCGCTACGCATCGAACGGGAAGTCTATGCACTTTACCTCCTTTTCAAAGTGTACTCGAAGGAAACCAACATCATTGATAAAACATTCATAAGAATGCATAAATTCCAATTCTAGTAATCATCGGCATTGCAACTGTAACAATTATTTAATAAACAAATCAACAGTGCAGATAACGAGGGAAACCAGGGAACGTTCAATTTTAAAAAATGTAATTCGTTCTACGGAATAAGGAAATGGATATAATCGAAATAATCATTGGAGTTTCGAAAGAAAGATAAGGGCAAATGTTAAAGATGGGCGCACCTAGGGTTTACGAAAAGTAGACTATAAATGCGTCTGGGGAGATAACCGTCACAGTCGTGTGCGTGGTGGTGGCGAAGAAGAAGATGCTCGTCTGGTGTCGTGGTTCGTGATGTCCTTGCGTGCATAGAGAATATGATGAAGTAAACAAATAAAACGGGGTTAGGGAAAAGAAACTGACTGAATGTGTATTAGAGACCGTGACGCGTGGCAAGCCTGTTTTGGGATTGGGCTCGTGTTTTTGCATTAGGCTGGGCCTAGGCTTCCTCAATTTGAGTTGATGAGTTTCTCCATGCACCTCCAAAGTTTTTTCCTTTACCTTCAAATTTTCTCTTAGTGCCTAAATTGTCTTTCTAACAAGGGTATTTTCGTTTTCTCCTATGATTACCTCATTCACTCACTTTTACTATCACACTTGTTTCTTCGAATCTAGTGCGCACCTCCAAACTTTACTCTTCTTTGCTCTCCACCCTTGCACCACGTTATTACTAAGAGATTCATCATATATCAAAATTGGTTAACGAGTTCATTAGATATCGAAATCCGATTAAAGAGTTAATTGAATTTTGAAATTTAGTTAAAGGTTTCATTGAATTTCAAAATTCGATTAAGAAGTACACTAAATTTTGAATTTCGATTTAAAGGATCCATCGGATATTGAAATCTAGTTAAGGGATTCATCATATTTCACAATTCGGTTAAAGAGTTTACTAAATTCGTAATGTGATCGAAGGTTTCACCATATTTCAAAATATGGTTAAGAGATACACTAAATATCAAAATTTGATTTAAGGGGTTTACCGAATTTCAAAACAAGATTAAGAAGTTCAACCGATTTTAAAATTCGATTAAGGGCTTCGCTGGATTTTGAGATGTTGCATACCTTGACCGAGTATTTAAAAATCTTGGTCAAGCTATATCATACCTTGATCAAGTTGTATCAAATCATGGTCGAGTTGTATTAGACATTGGCTGAATTGTTTCAGACCTTGGTCAAGTAGTAATTAACATTGACCAAGCTATATTAGATGTATTCTTTTTACTTTTGTCAAGTTGGTTTCACCAAATTTTGAAATTTGGTTAAGGGCTTTATCGAATTTTAAAATTTTGTTAAGAACTTTAATGAATTTTGAAATCCAATTAGTTTCATAATTGAAATTTGAAATTTAGTAAATTTCAAAATATAACGAGTTGATAAACTAGATTAAAATTTCCGTGAGTTTTCTATACTAGATTTTGAAATTTCAAAATTCAATTAATTTGTTAAAATGGAATTCAAAATCTGGTTAGTTTCCTAAATTGGATTTTAAAATTCAGTATATTCAAAACATAATAAAAATAAATATAAATTTCAAACAAAACAAATTTAAAATTTAAAACATAACTTAACCAACAAAAAAATCTCATACTTGAAAGATGAACGAGATGAAATAAAAAAAATGAATGAAAAGAGGTGTACAAAACCATATTTAGTAGGAGACACATGAGAGAAAAAGTAAAAGGTGTGAAGACTTAGGTGCATATCAGTAAATACAAATCGGTAAGTGATAATTATTGCTTATCTATTTTTTTTTTATATTTTATATATATTTTTAGTGAAGAACAAAATTATGATTTTGGAGGTGTAGGGAAAAATTTGGGTGGTGCATGGAAAAGCCCCTGATCAGTGAACATAAAGACGTCTTACGAAATTTAAACCTTTATGACATTAGGAAAGACTAAATTCATATTGGACTTAATCATATCGTTTTCAACGCCGCGTTTGCTTTGCTTTCGCTTGAATGTGTCATGTTTTTTTTTCACTGTAGGGTAACATGAAAATAATAGAAAATTAAATTATGAAAATTACTTTTGATTGATTTTTTTTAACGAACTTTAGAATTCGCAAAGGTCTTCGACAAATGAATCCTGTATAACATTTAATCGTGTTTTATTCTTTTTCAAAATTTAAAATGCTTTATTCATACACCTTAATTGGCAGTGTTCCACTTCCACTAATATTTAGGCTCAGTTAACCCTTTCAAGGCCCACACCTTAATTGGCAGTGTTCCACTTCCACTAATCTTTAGGCTCAGTTAACCCTTTCAAGGCCCACAGGACCACTGCAGAAATTAAATAGAGTCCCCGATTTTGTAAACTTTTGCATTAGAAGACGATGGTATAAATTTAACGTTTTGGGATTGATTTCTTGCTGTATGCATCTATTCTATACAATCAAAGCAAACTATAACAGTAAAATGGTTAAAAAGGGGAAAACAGAAGTGGTCTTCTCTCAATCCATACACAAGCACTGATCAACTGAGTGGCCGACTTTCCCTTGGATCTCTTTATTCCATTTTCTCATTTGTACATGGCGAAATTGATGCAACTGCGCAAGCAAGAAAAGAAAACTTGTTATTGAATAAGAAATGTACACATCCGCTGTTCTTTGCTCACAAAAATCATTGCAATCGATGATAGTAAACGATTTACAGAAAACACGCAGCAGACACAAGTTCATGAGTGGGGGGTTTACTATCATTGTCAAGCACATGTATGTTCTTTGCTCACAAAAATCACAGGGATGTAGATAATAATACACCCAAGGAGACCAAGAAGTTGTTTTAATAATGCATTTTTCTGCGATATCGTGTCAGTTTCCTTCACCTCATGATTGCTCCAGAAAAACAGAAGAAAACCTGGAGCAGGACAGAGGGATTTTAATCAGCATGATCACCAATCCTGAATCAGTAACAAGCAGCGCAGCATGGCATTTGATTGTTCTGCGAGAATAGCATAAGACCATATGGTACGGATTAGCAACCATCACTTCAAAACTCTAGATGTAATATATATTTCCATCGTATAAATACATAATTCATCGAGTAAAGAAATATCAATATAGTACATCGCATTGTGACTCTATAAAAAAATATAACTCTAATCTAGCGAATTCACCTCGATCAAACATACAGTATTTTTTATTTATTTATATATAGTTTTTCTAAATCTAAGAAAGGAAATATTGTTTCGCCGTTATTTCCACTTATGAAACTTCGGTTGTTCCTGTTCCTCGAACCTTTTCAGCACACCTTCGATGGCAACATCGAACGCATCCTTCATATCGTCTAACCCGTCTTTCGTGTTAGCGTAAATCAACCTCGGAATGTACTCAATCACTTTCTCCCTCATTTGCCGCACTCTCTCCCTGGTGAACTTCTCCAGCACGTTTTTCACGGTTACGGTTCCATTCTTAACTGCGTTCCGATCTATGTAAACTGAGTAACTTCCCGGTTCGACCGGCAAGAACAACTCGTACTGCAGGTACGCGCTTCGCCGCCAGAAGAAAACCGGAATCGAACCGGCCACCATGCAATCGAAAATGGACCTGCGTGTGAAGCTGTCCCCTCTCGGCTGTAAGCAGAAATCAGAGTCCAGAAACGTTTCTAGAATCGCCGACGTGCCGTTGGAGCACCGCGTCCCAGTGCAGTTCACGGTGCGGCACGACTCGCCCGCGTCGCGGCATTGGCTCAGCAAAATCCCGCGGAAGTCTTGGCGGAACGCGCGTCGAGGGGCGCCGGCGAAGCAGAAGAGCGCACTGCGTTGGCGCTCGTGGACGAAGTTCTGCCAGCGCGTGACGTCGGATTTAGAGCGCGGATGGAATCCGGTGGGGTAAGGAACACCTACGTCGAAATAGTCCCAAGGATTACGCTCTATAAGAAGGCGCGTGACGTTTCTTAGCCCAGGCTTGTAGATGCAGCTGGAACCCCAATCGCGTTCCGAGGAGCGACGAAAATCCCATGTGATGCGTCCCATGGTAATAAAATGATCCCAACCGTTTGATCTTTTAAAAAACGGTTGGTCCATAACCCAGCGCAGCATCATGTCGCAGTGGCGATCGCGTTCTTCAGCTGTCGAGTTGAGCCACAGGTACTTCCCAACCGCGAGTCCAGCGTAGAACGGTATGTAGAATGCCGTAGCGGATTCCGGCTCCTTAACCCTGCACCTGTGATTCAATAATCGGTTGTGGAAGATGACTTCAGTGACGAACTGGTCGGTCCAGTGCCACGCCGGGAGGAGATCCTCAGGAACGATTCCGGCCAGCGCGGCAGCGTTCAGGCCGAATCCGTTGTTAGAGAGGGAGTTGCAGCGGGAGCCCCAGGGGTTGAGGTTGTCGCAATTCTGGAGGATTTCGTAGTTGAAGGTTTGGGGGAGGTCGTAGACGAAGACCTTGCCGGAGCCGCATTGGTCCAGAGCTTGGGAAGAGTGATGGACGATGGGGGCGGGGAGAGGAGAGGGGATTGGGGAGGAGAACATGCGGAGGTTGCAGAGGAGGAGGATCTGGATGAAGAGGACAGTGAAGAATATCCATGAACGAGGGATTTGGGGTGAGGAAAGGGGTTTGAGGAGGGAGGTGATGGAAGAAGTGAGGGTTGGTTTGTTATGAAGTGTTTTGGTTTGAGGTTCCAGTGAGGGGTGAATTGATTTGGGAAGCATGAGATAGAGTGAGAGAAGAGTGGAAAACGGGAATTCCGGCGAAAGTAGACCGGAAAAGTGGGGTTGCGTGGAGGAGTGTGAGGGTGGAAAGTGTGGTCGGGTTTAAAAGCTTGGTTCTATTACGATGGTGATGACGATGATGAAGGTATGTAGGGATGGGAATGGGTTTATTTATGGAGTGACACGTGTCTCATGGATTACAGTCTTCAAGGAGCAACCGACAGGGTTTTCACGGAAAAAGTAACACGTGCCTCTTTTTTTTTCTTCCACAGTTATTGCTTCTTCTATTTTCTCTGTAATTTCTCCGTAGGTTTTTGTGCCTCATTAAATTACTTTCATTTCCATATTTATGTCTTTTATGGAGTTCTACTGATTTATTATTCCATTTACGGATCATATCGTTGCATTTTATTTAGACATCTCGCTTGTTTGCTTGTTTTTATGGGTTAAAAAAAGTTATGTAACTTTTTATTGTTCTGATAACAAATATCGTTATTAATCATAGTCATTCAATTAATACAAAAATTCAATGAGTAAAATTAATTAGGAATATAAAAAATTTAAATTTTAAATGTATAACAAATCAAAATAATTTATTACAAATTAAATTTTGAATATTAAAATTTATAAAACAAACATAAAATTTAATTTAACTTTAATAAAACAACCATGTGATATCTAGTGAATATTAATCACACTTTAATTTATTTTACATCACTCGTTATTTTTAAATTATTATGTCAATATGAAATAAAATTTATAAGGAATATATTTATCTCATTTCAAAATATTTTAACAAAACTTTTCTTATAAATAAATAACCTCGTATTCAATCAAATATTTAAACATTCAAAAAAATCCTATGATATTTAATGAAAAATTTAAAGATTTATTTTATAATAAAATAAAATTTTGGTGGCATTAAATTGAGATGCCAAAATACTAAAACAAACTATCTCGTTTAAATTATATGCATTTTAGTAGTTATTTTATTGGTAAATTTTTAATGAATTATCTTACAGATAAAATTTGGTGGCATTAAACTGAGATGCCAAAATACTAAAACAAACTATCTCATTTAAATTATATGCATTTTGGTAGTTATTTTATTGGTAAAAATTTAAATTATATGCATTCATGGAATTGTTTTATTTATAAAAATTTTAATGAATTCTGTGTCACTTATTATTATTATTATTATTATTATTATTATTATTATTATTATTATTATTATTATTATTGTTATTGTATTGAATATGATTTTTCAATTGTTAAGAACTTTTTTTTTCCATAATTGGCTTTTAGTTAGAACTGTCAAAATGGGTCACAATCCGCGAGTCAACCTGGCCCACCATGGGTTTGAGCCGAGTTGGATTAGAAAAAGATGTATTTTTTTTATGCGGGTCAGATTTCAACCTGACTCGTTTAAACTCGTCTCATGCGGGTTGAACCCGTGGTGGGCCGGGTTAGCCCACCAACCCACCTATCTAATTTTATTTTATTAAAATTTAATTTTAATTTTATAAAAAAATATTTATTATTTTGTTTTTGTTTGAAAAAATTATTTAAGTTCCTTATTTTCGAAATTAATTAGACACCCATGTTGAGAGTGAAATTTGGAGGTGAAATTTGTTTAGATTTGTATTATAGAAAGTTTGTAATTTTTTTATTTAAAAAAAATTGTAATTAAGTGACCTAGTGAGCTAACCCGTTTACCCATCAATCCGTGGTGGGTCGAGCTGAATTCGAATTTTTCTGGCTCACTAATAAATGAACCGGGTTGGGTTGGCTCACTAAGTGACCAACCCGTAGTGGGCCGGTCGAGTCGGGTCGGGTGACCCATTTTGACAACTCTACTTTTAGTGATGCTATTATTTATTTTATTGCATTTTTAAATTATTTCTTTTTAATAATCTGAACCGATAAAAATACGAGTTTGATGTTTCAACCTGAATTAAATAAATTTCAATAAAATATCATTATTTTAACTATTAAATATGTAATATTATAATACGAGAAGCAATTCTATTAAAAATTAAATTTATAAAATTAAAATACTATACTTACATTTATAAAATTAAAACTTCACTTAAAAATATATTAAGTCACAACATATACTTAAAAATATAGTTTATGAAAGCAAATAAAATGAAATACATCAAATTTCAACGATGAAACATCAAATCAATTAGCAATTGCAAAACTCAATAAAAAAATACAATAGAATAATACATGTGTATTGTAGCCAATACATTGAATATTTCCACTATTTTCCCTAGTTTTACAAGTCATATCTAATTTGACCGGTTGTTTATGACTTCAAATAAAATACAATTCAATTTTTCAAGTGTGTTAATAATCGTTTTAAATACATAGAATCTTTCAAACTCTTGTAGGCGTATGGAATTGCTTTTAAACTAAGATCTGTAAAAAGGAAGCTAGAAAGAAAAAATGAATTTAATTTTTCACACAAATTAAAATCAGGCTACATATCCTAGTTTTATAGAAGAAAAAAAAAATTAGAATTTCAAATTAATTTTAACTGATATGAAGGTTTAATTTGTTTCATATTTTAATGTATATATATTATAAAAAACTATTTAAAATAACACATCAATAATTTGTTTCATCCTTTGCCAAAGGAGTGCACGCCATTGGCCACGAAGAAGAGAAAGGTATTGATGCGGGATGAATGATGGAAAGGACTAATAAATAATAACAAATCCTGCACATGTCTTTTTAATCCCCACCACCCTCATTTGTTTTTTCTCATTCATTGCTTAGTTAGTCAGATAATTATATTCCTAACTTTTTTATGTTTTACATATATTTTTTTGATGAAAAAGATTGTTGTACATGATTGATTTATTAAATATTTAGATTTTTTCTATTTTATCTTAGTAACAATATTAAATTTAAGTGTAAACAATGCATATGGTATGGTTTCATATTTCTTTCAGAGTCTTTAATGTAGAAAAATAGTTACATTTCTTTAGATAATTTATTTCATTATTAAATATATAAATATAGTAAATAGGAGTGGAACATGTTAAGGAAGTGTTAGTGATAGAGAATTAAAGTGTACTGTAGGGTTAGTATGGGAAATAAACGTAGTTTACATGTGATGATGTTTTTGATGAAAGCGGACAAAGCGCAATCATTAAAGAAAAGAGAGGCGGCAAACAGTTGAATATTAGATGCACCATGTTGTTTATTGCTGGAGAATGAAGAGATTCTTCTCTCGTATTAGCAGTGACTTTTTTGGTAGTTTGCGTCAAGTGTCTCTCTCACACACCGTGAGCCATTATAAATGAACGACACCTTCTGGATAATACATATGTATTGACAGCTTCGGCGGTGACACAGGCACCGAACCATGCGTCCCACTGCTTCATTCATGTGCTGGCTACAGCAACAAATCTCTTATTCTACTATAACCCTACAATTAACATCAGTTATAAGGTTATTTGTAAACCTTAATTTATCATTTATTGCTACAAAAAAGTATGTGTTTTCGGAAGCTAAACAAGAAAGAGATATAACTTTTTCCATACACAGAGAATTGACGAAAATGGAAGCCGGCGATATTCCAACCAATACATGGTTTTTCTTTAAAAGTTTATATGAAAATTCGAAATCCAAGTTCAAGGTTTTGGTAGATATCAGGTAGGTTACGGGTCTAAGCCAATGGCTAATTACACTTGAGCTGTCAAGACGCGCTTTTTTGTTTGCTTTCAATAATGAGCGAAAGAGCTTTTGAAATTTGAATGCTAGCACGCCATTGGGTTTACTCTTGGAAAATTTGGATTAGATCCCTTCATTTTCTTACGAGTTTCCGCAGGCAAAACCCTTATATGAGATGGAAGCAGCTGTTTTTCTTGGTTTTCATTAAGATCAAATAATTTAGTTAACATATCACAATGTATCTACCACTAAAAACTATATTTAAATCCTCTCCTTTTAATTTTAATATTATGATATACTTAATAATTTCAACTTCCTCAAATACTCAAAACTATATAATTTATAATCAGTTATCATTTGAATTGTGTCTTATACATTCAAAGATATATCAGTATTTGTCTAAACGTCTTAAAATCTAATGGTCTCATCACGAAACATTGCAGTATAACCAACTACACGCCAGCTGGTGCACTATGGTAACATAATCGCTTGTATACTGATTAGGTAGATTTAACGTACGGAAAAATTACTTAAAATGACAATTAAAGCATGATTAAGTACATCAATTAACTAATAGTCACATTGATTAAAGACTTGATAACTTTTTGGCAAGTATACCAAATCGTTCCAAGTAATATAGAGTAAGTTCAAAGTATCGTTCTCCCAAGGGACTTGTGCAACACAGACAATTCTTTCTTTTATAATTCAATTAGACATCAAAGTGTACAAAAAACACATGAAACTCTTTTTGGTATTTTTATCAAACAGTTGGTGTGCAAAGAATTTATATTTAAAGAAACTTCGTTGGAATTGGGTTTCATGAATCATATGAATATAAAACTCTGTTCAATATTTCATTACTTCATTCAAACATTCACATCAAGGCATACTAGTCCTAATCCCTTAGCAACTAGTTCTAAATTAATATATTAAAATGCTAATCCCTTAGTCAATTTAACATACAATTTGCATTAAGTCCGATGTTAAGAATGATCAAGTTATTGAGTCTATCCCTAGATCCCAATCACTTAATTGCTCTATCTACGTTCATGTTCAAAGTTACTTTCCAGTAATCAAAGACATTCAAATAACATTATATTTTCATACAATGATAATAAATTCAAGAAAGAGCATATGAACGAACAACGATATATTGAACAGGAAAATTACAGTGAGTTCATTACATCCAATCCCAACGAAAGAGAAATTTAACTACTCCTAATCATCTAAAACGTACACATTTGAAGCAATCCCTTGCAACAATGGTGTTTTGATGCCTTGGAGCAGTCTCTGGAAGTTCCTTAAGATGTTTTCGTTTCTTTCTTTTGTCTGGAACTTCTGTTCGAAGGGAATGTTTCTGTCGCTCTGTCACGTCTTTTAAAGCCACTTAAATTCATTAATTCGCTTAGCGCACATGTACTGGTGCGCTATGCGAATTTTCTTAACTGCTGTATTTTAACTGATGTTATTCGCTCAGCGCACAGGTACTGGTGCGCTATGCGAATTTTCTTTTTCTGGCAGTGCGAATTTTGGCTTTCACTTTGCGAAAATTGGCTGACAGAGTCTAAATAATATATCATTTCCTGTACAATATTTTACATAACAATCTACTACCTATTACAACTTTTCAACGAGGAACAACATGAAAAATTACAAGATTGAGTTCATTTATAAGTATAAAAACAACTCTTTTTCACACTTATCAAGACTTTAAATATTTAAAATGTTTTTAAAGTTTTTACAAAATATACATTCAACTTTATAAAAACAAAATGCATTCCTTATTTAAGAAAAAATATATAATAAATTCAACAAATAACATAAACTATCTCATTCTCTCTTTTTTCATCTATCTTATATTATCTTTACATTGATACGTGATAATGATTAAAATAATTAAAGTTAATTTTCTATATTTGAATCATAATATTAATTATACAAAATCTATAAAATTACGTTCTTTTATTTCCTATATTAGATATGTTTTTATATTCATTTCCATTCTAAGTAAAACATTCTCACTTTATTAGATAACCTATAACTTTGTTTTCCTATTTTCTTAGATAATTTGTTTTGTTTTGTCTAGATAATATTTTTTTACTACATCATTCTTCATTTTTTCCATCAATTATTTGACCCATTTGATATTTATTAAAATAATTTGGATTCTTAATGCTTTTGTTTTATACAGTTTCAATTATATTTTTTTTTACTTTCTCCAAATGATGTATTATATTTTTAAAAATAAATAAATATTAATTTTATCAAATTAAACTATTTTTAGGATGCAAATTCGACAATTTATGTTTTTCTAAATATTCTTATTTTTTGTTTATTCTTATTATATATAAAAATGTCTACGTATCAATTTTGATTGTTTAATTGCGTAAACTTTTAACAGTTTATTAGAAAACCTAAAATGTTTGTCTTCTCCTTTCATTTGGTTCTTTAATTTCATTTTATTTGAATAATTATTTTTTCATTACATAACTTTTCATTGTTTCAATGTTTAACTCAATCACAAAGTTGACTTAAATTCTTATAACATTTCAGTGAACCTTACAATTTAATGAATTACAAGATCAAATAAATTGGTATCAACCTTTTTGCATCTTGATCAATTACAATAAAAATAATTAAATTTTTTATTATTATAATTTAGACTATGAATACTAAATAACCAGTATTACAAACTCAAAATTAGTTGGTCAATATGGTTGAAACTCAAATTCATTTTTTTAATTATTTTCTCTCTTAATCCTTCTTTGTTATAAACTCTTGCAGCTATTGATGACATCTTCGACAATTGTTTGTGATGTTTGGTACTTTGGAACCACAAAATCTGAAGTCAGGAGAGATACCAATTGAGTTTGCAGAAAGATAAATAATGTTGTTCGTGATGGTGAGATATATGTTTTTGGCTTTATCTTGGTCGTAAGACAGTCACTCTTGAATTAACTATGCAAGGTAAGAGACATAATCTCATTGCATGTTGGCATTAAAAAGGTTATTTGGGATGGATATCTAAAGTATTATCATCCTATAGGCTAAAGCACAGAGAAAAGAAGTATATTAAGTTTCTTGAATTTTTTTTCTCTGGTGTGAAATTTGTTGTCATATGGTTTGTCACAAAGGTGTTATAGTTTAAAGGTTTAAATCTGTTCAAGGTTCCTAAAAGTAATGTATTTTTTGTTTTGTTTTAGTCTTTGCAAAAAAATGCTATTTTTAGATATTGACATTTTGTAAAAAATGGTTCTTATATCCTTTACAAAAAAATATCAAAGAAATACTTTATCTACAAAATTTCTTATAAAAAATTATTTTTCAGATCTTGACATATTGTAAAAAAAAAATGGCAATAGGTATATCTAAGATAATATTAGATTGTGTTTTTAAAATAGATTTTTTTTTTCTGTAACAGCTCATAATTTGAGTTAGGATGTACATGTTTTTTTTATGTTTCTCTACAGATTTAACGAAGCTGTTAGAAAAAGAAAATAATTTTATATTTCTTGCTTCAATAATATGAATAGGAAATATATATGATTGAAGGAAGTTAGAAAAAGAAAATAATTTTATATCTTTTGGTTCAATAATATGAATAGGAAATATACTTGAAGGAAGAATAGAAGCTATACCTCAAGGAAATGTTTATTCAATAACTCAAGGAAATGTTTATTCAATAATATGAATAGGAGATATATTTTTTAAATTATCTAAATGGATAACTTAAAAGAATATAAAATAGATAAGTAATGTTATTATAAAAATATGTATTTGTAAAAACAATTTCAATGTCCAAATATAAATTATTTCTAAATATAAATTCTTTACTCCTTGTTTACTTAAATGAATGAAAATTTGAAAGAGAGTGATTGAATGGATTTGAGAGAATTTGAAGGTAAATTTTTGTTCTTTATGAATGCTTTTACGTAAAAGAGAACATTTTTACAATGATAGAAGAATCTATACGAACGCAATTGTCCATTTTCAATTCCTTAAGGAAAGGAAGATCGCAAGTGTCCAGGAGAGTTTAAAGCACATTGAAAAGTGAGTATTTTCGAGTGTGGTAGATGTGAGCTTAGGAATAGAAGCACAATTTTGAGCTCAAAAGTTTGCCAGCAGACTATGTTTTCAATTCTCAAAAACCGAAATGTTAGGGTTTGATATGCAAAGAGTCTATGATGAATGACTAAGCATCGAATGTTCCAGGAGCAATTTGGAAAAGGCTCGACGTTAATATGATCTCTCAGTGTGAAAGTGATTTGAGAGATGCAAGGTTTTCAAAGACGGTAGCGGAAGAGATGAAAAGTCTCATGGGGGAGGAAGAGGAATTGGTGTAGAGGTCTATATATCATTCAAAATCGAAATGAATTTTAGAATTATGATATTTAAAGCTGAAGTAAACAAGGTAATGGATTATTTAGTACGGAATTGTTAAGCAACAAATGTTAATGAGATAGTGCTAAAAAAAGTTATGTCCATGTTCGTAACTTTGTACTCTAATTGTCTTGTTTATGGTGTTTTATTGCTTGCTTTTGATATATGATAAGAACGGTTCAATATTTAATTTTGTTAAAAAATTAAAGTGAAATTTGAATATATGACTTCAATTTTATCAAAAGATTTCAAAATAATTTACTTTTATTTTGCTTTATGCAAAATTTAAAATTAAAATCATGTTTATAAATAGTATTTTAATTTAATGAAGTATTCTTTTAAAACATGATCTATTTATTTTTTCAAATTTTACTCATTTCAGTAATTTCAAACAACTTACACGAGATTGGTAGAGAAAATGGTGAGAATGTTCCCTGACTTTATTTGATTTCAAATTTAACATTGAAATTCACCTTGAATTACAGGTATCTTAGCTAGCTAAGCTAACATAACTCAAAATCTGGAACCTGCAGGAAGTCGAGTGAAAACTGAGGGGAATCAGTTCTTTATATATTTATTTATATTTTCTTTTTCCTTTACTCTTTCCATTTTCAAGCATCGAAACAGCGTCAAAGCCCAACCCGTTTGAGTTCTCACAAGGTAAAGTCCTCTTGTGTTCTTCTTTCGCGCCTGAAAGCTGATTGTGGTTGTGTTATAACAAAACCACGGGATTGTGCCTACTTTCAGAATGGAGAAGACAACACTTAAAGTTCGATGCCAGAGGATTGGGTGCGACGCCACCTTCTCCGAGGACGACAATCCCGACGGTTCCTGTCGATACCATGATTCGGTACTCTCTCTCTCTCTTGCTTTCTTGCTTTCTTGCATAACCCTCATGTCCAAGTTTCCACCTTTATCACAACCCACCTGCACTTTTCCCTTTCATTTCGGATAATTCTGCTCTGTAGCTCCCCATCTTTAATTTTTCACCTAATGCCTAGCCCTAACTTATGCTCTTGTTTGAAGGGCACTTGATTTAATTTCCTAAGCCTGCGCACAATTATTCTATAATTAATTGATCTCTCTGCAAATTGGTTTGCGTCCAACCCTGTTCTTCTGCCTTCTCTTTTGTAATTCGTCATTGCAGTGTATTAAAGATCTTGGTTTCTTTAAGCTTGTGCCTTTTCTTGTGGGACTTGGCTCCGTGAAATATCGCGTTAGAGCAAATAGTAAGAAATCTGCATCATTGATGAGGAAATTAACTCGTGATATTACCTACAGATGGTATCTCCTGATGTTACATGCACGGGCAGGAGTGCAATAAACTGTGAATTGCTTACTATCTTTACTCGTTTGATTTTCTCTTTAACTGTTAAGAGTTGAGAACTTGAGATATTTCACTTTCACTTTTCTTTTCGAAGTGGTTTACTCATATTATAGAAGTTAATTTCATTCCGTGGAAGCTATTCTATGTAGTGTAGTGGTTCAGTTCAGCTCGAGTGGCACATCTATGGTAGTACTTTAGCACTTTGGCCAAGGAACCGTATGATACTAAAACAATGTTAGAACTGATTGCTTTTGCATATCTGAAAGTTTGGAGTGATTTAGGTTAAATTAATGACTAAGGTAGTCATAATCGAGATCTTACCAAGGATTGACAAGGTTAGGGAAACAAGTTGGACCGTGCAGCTGAGAATCAGCCCATGCATTGCTGGATTGGCTATATAGCTTCCAACGAGCCTAGTGTCTAACAAATGTTGATGCAACTTGTTGACCGGTTGACCTCCGTAGACTGATCACTGTAACCAACTCACTCTCACATCCCTGTCTTAATACCTACGGGCCTCAAGCCCGTAGACCTATTACAAAAAGATTCTAGATTCTTCCAACCTATGATGCATGGATAATATATCAGATCAATGCCAAGCCAATACGGTAATATGCTTATTATAAGAATAAACGGATACAATAAGTGACAAATGCATATTTAAAAATGTATAAAAATTCGAAAAACATAATAAATATATAATTACAATTGTACATATTCAAATTAAAATCACATTTCTTAGACACTGCCAAAATAAAAAATTATAAATTATTGTCGTCATAAAAGTACTCATGCTTCTGCTCCACAGGGCTGGATACTTCATCAATTTGTACCTAACAGTATTATAGAATATCGGATGGATATGTGAAACAAATTGTAGTATAGCTGCATCAGATCTTCACACACATGACTAAACCATTAATCACCTCCTCACGCGTGTGAAGTATTACATTATGTATGCCAGTCCTCGAGAAAAGGCAGGAACCACTGTAGAACCATTAAAACACATGTTAAATTGTGTTACCATTTAGGTCACGGCAGGTCAGACTGTGTAGAACTTGCCGTTGCTTTTGAGTTCCCGCCTGGCTTTAGGACTCCCCAATGAGTGTGTTCTCTAGTATTAACACAAGTGAGTCATTTAATTGTAATGTGGATGCCTAAAATACAACTATATTTGAAGACGCATGCATGCATTAAAAGTAACAAATGAGCAAAATCACTTTAAATTAATAACAGCTACAAACTTACAAGTCACGCCAATTCCAAATTTTGAACCCCACGAATGGCACCAACAGAGATGCTTCCAACTTTAAGAGTATCTGTAACCCCCTCCCCCCGCCCCTCTCCCCTCATCCTCCCTAGCAGTTCCTAGTTTCTTTTCCACTTAAAAACATTATGAATAGCAGAACAGATTGGGGGAGTGGAACCAGCAGTAATCAGAAACTTGAACCCGGGGTCCTAAACAGCTCAGTAACCACACCAAAAGTCAAACAAGAATGCAAACCAAGCAGAAGAACACCATGCTGAGGTGCAGTTGAGTGTAGAGTGCTGAACTCAAGAAAAAGAACCGACTAGGGATTTGGAACTTTTATGTTTAATCAGAGGAGCCAAAAAAATTAGTGCCAATGGTAAAGTGTTTGGGGCTTTAATGTAACGAGTCGGCCAAAATTATAATGCTTTTCATTCAACTCAATTGAAAGTGTACATATGCTCGCGTATAATTTTGAGATTTTAGAAAGGGAATTCACATTAAAGCTTTAGGGGAAACACCACAATTATGATATTTTTGGATGTGAGATAATAGCCAATCCTTTATCATTTGGTACTGCATTTTCTTTTTCTTAATTAATGATACAATTGATTCTATTTTTCTTTTGACATGTTTCCCAGAGCTCTTAGGGCTTTAGTTAAGGAATTAAAAGAGAAAAAGTTTTTTTTTTTTATTTGGATGTGTAGATATGCGCTTCCCTCTGTTGTTTTAATGTGCCTGCATATGATTTCTAATAGAACTTTCTCCTTCTAATTCCCTAACTAGTGCTCAACACTAATAAGCATGATCCTTCTCTTTATGAGGTGTGTTTTCCATTTTCTTTTATCTAATATAGTTTGTAGCAATCATGCTTAATACTTATTTTCTAGGGGGCTTGATTTGTCATTTGGTTCTAGTTTTCAACATATCTCTTCATCTTTGGTTGCTAGCCCTAGTTTGTCAATAGTGGCATGGTAGTAGCGGCTAGCACTCTATATTGAAAGTTACTAAAACTAGTATTTTCTTCCATACTGTTCAGTTCCTGTAAGAACTCTTTTGGCTTAAATTTTTGTTTGTGTTGTTTCATGAGCTTTAGTAATTTCATTTTAGCTAATGCCATCATTAATGCATACTCATGATTGTGAACTTTAGTACAATTTTGTATCCCTCCGATATATCATTTTGTTGATTTATGATACGGCATTTGTTTGAGATCTTACTGATTCACTTTCCATCTGGCATGTTTGGGATTTGAAATTTATGCTGCCGGGGCTTCTTCCATTGTTCAGGGGGTAAGTCCAATGTCTATAAATCTATTTCTTCACAATGTATTCTTTCTATTATGATTATTTATCAGTTTATTGTAACTGATTACATTTATCTTTTAATTTCCAGCCTATATTTCATGATGGAACAAAAGAATGGAGTTGTTGCAAGAAAAGAAGTCATGATTTTAGCTTGTTTTTGGAAATTCCGGGGTGAGAGATCATTATTCAATTTCTTTTTTCTTTTCTGTGGTTTCCTGTTTTAGAATATAGAGTTTGGTCTGCGGTCAACTGGTCAACTTGAGAGAATTCAACTTTTTTGGGTAGAATAGGTCGTAGAGATGACTTTCTGTAATAGAGAAATGAAAAGAATCGTAGAGAAGTATTGTCAAAATATCCTAGGTTGATTATGGATGTTTTACTCCAAATTTCATTTATCAGTTCCGCATGGGTTGTATCATCTTCATATTTGGGGAAGTAACATCACGTTACTCCTGTTTCAATGTGCAATGATCTGTATTTAGAATCTCCAATCTTTGTTTTACACTGGTATGAGTCCGCTCTTCATTGCCAATTCGTGCTTCGAAGTTGCGTATGGTGGAAGAAAATGCTTACTGAGTAAATATGGTTTCTAAATTTAACATTAATGAAATGGAAATTAGAAGTGGATTCCACCTAGCAGTTATTCTTGTATAAACTTTCTTATAAAACATTTTCAATTGAAAATATTTGCTGCTCCTGGAGACATTTTCATTATCTCCTGCAGATGATTTTGCTTGTGTCTAATTTGATCTCTGGGATTCTTTATAGTATTAGATCTTACAAAATGTAAGATGATCATATGTATGTTGAGTTTGAAAAACATGGTTCATTGGCTTAAATGTGCTAGCAATGAAACAGCGTATTTTACTTTTACTTGCGGCAATATTCTCGTAGTATAAAAAATTAAGTCGGTTATGTCCATTACTTTACAATTTCTTTTAATGTTCGCTGCATATATTGATCAAAGTTTCTCTCTGTGATCAAGATGTAAGACTGGAAAACATACAGCAGTCAAGCAAGTAATTGCTCCAGTGAAGAAGAACACCTCGCCCTCTCCAACTGCTGTTTCTTCAACCAATGCTTCATCAAAGGACTCTTGTTCTAGATGTAGGCAGGGTTTCTTTTGCTCAGATCATGGTATTTACATGCTTCTGCTCATGGCACTGTCTCAAGTCCTTTGATTAGTTACTTTTTGCTAATCCCCCATGTCGTGCTTTCAAAGCTAATTTTCTTTCTCCTATCCCTCTCTTCTTCATTAGGTTCTCAAAGCAAACCAGTTAACGTTGTAGACAAGTCCCCAAATCTTGTTGGAGATGTCTCTGCTATTAACAATTCAAGTGTTCAGGCTCCCAAACCTAAGAAGATAGTCGATATAAATGAGCCCCAAGTATGTAAAAATAAAGGATGCGGTCAAACTTTCAAGGAAAAGGATAATCATGACACTGCTTGCAGCTACCATCCCGGCCCTGCTGTTTTTCATGACCGGATGAGAGGGGTCAGTATTGAGTATTCCACTGTAGTTTGATCTCATTTCTTTCCAAATCAATGCTTGTACTGTAGCTGAGACATGTTCTCTGAGAACTGTATTTATTTTTCCCTTGTCACTCTTTTTTGTAGTGGAAGTGCTGTGATATTCATGTAAAAGAATTTGATGAGTTTATGAACATTCCTCCATGCTCAAAGGGATGGCATAGTGCAGATCCAGAGTCCTGATCACGGAAGACACAGAAGAACCTTTTTTTTCCTTACAGTAGCTGATACTTTCATTGAGATGGAAAAGGTATTGTTGATTGATGTTTTGGTGTCATTGATTAAATATTAGTGTCTACTCTTTTTGCATACCTCGCCTCCTTTCAATTGGCCATCCTTGATTGTTAATTTTCTTAGTCAATCCATCTGGATGGTTATTGTGTTACTGTACTGTGTGAATCTGTTTTCCTTAGTTCTTCGAATGTCGTAATTTGCTTTTGTTGGACTGTGTTGGACTTGGCTAATCTTGAAAGATGTTAAACAATGGTTCCATTCACAATGGCCTTGTTTATTCAGAGCCAAAATATATGCTTTTCGGCTTAAAACACGGCATTGGGCTATCTTGATGATGTCATTGTTACTTAGCGATCACATTTATTCATGAAATATTTTTTTTTTAAGAGAAAGGTTCATATATTAAAATTAGTTAAGGAGACAAAAGCTATGGGATGTGTTGTGTTACTAAAATGGTTGTACGAATGGTATAATTCATTGAGAGTAGTAATAAAGAGACCACTTAAATATAACTTGTGGTAATTCTGAAATTAGTAAATTTTGATTTTAGTGCTTTTAAAAATGGAAAATTCCTATTATTAAGTGATATTATTTTCCTAATAGCAATGTCACACTTGTGTTTACTGGGAAAAAAAATGGGTTTTTGCTATGAAGTTATTCATCTACTTTTAAAATAAATTTGAATAATGAAAATAACTACTTTAGACTTTTGCAGAGATTACGACTAAATAAATTATAGGGATCAAACCTAAAACTAACTCATTTTAAAGAGACCAAGTTATTTATTTCTTACACGGGTTTAGAGACCAACATTAAAATATTTTTGTAGGATGAAAAATATAAGCTCAAATAAAATATTAAGTCATGTTTATCTTTATTATAAAATAAAGTTATTTGTCATTTCACCTTGAAATATTAATTATTTCACCTTTCATGTTAATATCAACAAAATTTTGACACTTAACATTTTTTTCTGCGGTCCATGATCTTGTTACCGTACATGAATGTTGCGAATTTAGTAATACTTGGGGCTATATTTTGGAAAAACAGTTTAATTGCTTTTTTATTTATTAAATTTACATGACATCTTATGTTATGAGTTTAATAATATAAAATTTATGGAGAAAAGTGTTACAAAAATATTTTTATGCCTTTTTGAGAGAAATAAATAATAATAATAATAATAATGAAAAAGAAACTCATTTTCATGAATCTAAATATTTTTTTGTATTTGTTCTAATAATAGAAATATTAAAGGAGTCTAACTAATTTATATAAAGTTATATAATCAATTTTCAGTTCTATAAAATAAATTTGACACTGTATACTTTTTCGTGCTGCTTCAATGTTTTATTCAAACAACAATTAGGATTAACTTGGTGTAAAAAGCATACGAAAGTTGAATGCGATGTAGGTTCAAAGTTTATTAGGGATATGGTACAAATAACATTTGTTTTTTTAAATTCATATTTGAATGTTATGTTTTTTTATATTCATATTTGAAAACAAATGTCTGTACATGCCTCATGCGATATTTGCACAAATAATGATTTAAACTTCATGATATTTGTATTAAAGCTATCCAAATAACAATTTAAATTTTAAAAAATAATAGTAATTACAAATCATATATACTAATAAAATAACAGCATATTCATAATAACAATAGTTACTATATATTAGATTTTAAAAAATAGTTTGCTATAAATTAAAGTAAGGTACATCATATTTGAAGATCATGACGTAATATAAAAAATAATTATTTTAAGTTTTAAAATTGTAAAGTCGAGTGTAAAAGGACCGATAGATTTTTTTTTTTTCATTCCTGCAAACCCATAAAATTTATATTCTCATTCTATAATTAAATTAAATTATATTTACAGATGTCAAAAGGGGGACAGGTGGGCCTGTCAAGAGAAAGGTGAGTGAGGTTGCATTTTTAATGGGTGCAAGAAGAAAGACTCCTTCCAATGACTCTCTCTCCACTGCGAACAAGTCTTCATCATTCCAATAACTATGGGCTTGTATGTCTTATAACTCACCTAATATCTGTTGTCTATTTCTACAGTTGTATTATAAATGGTAGTGTGTTTCATCATGTCCTTATCTCCAACTTTTTCAAAAAATTTCTTTTTTAATCTTAATAAACATTTTTTTAACTTTTTCTCTTTTTTAATAAAATAATCCTGTATCTCTTTAACTTTGCACTTTTCTAATAAAAAATTTTAAAATTTTGTTTCTTATTTATAATTTAATAACTATTTAATTTAATTTAAAAATCTAATATTATTTAATATATTTTCATATTTTAATAATTATTAAAATATCATTTGTATTATTATAATAGTTATATTAAAAAATTAAAATTAAAATAATTAAAATAAAAGTAATAATGATAAAAATAAAAAACAAAAATAATATTATAAAATTTGATTTAATCTTTGTACATTTTAAAAAAATTATTAAATTAATTAATCACTTCTTCTGGAAAAAAACTATTAGAAACAGGCACTGTGTACAATGTAAAAAATTGTGTACCAAACAATTCAGTCTCCAAGAACACGGTATAGTATAAATTGTTTAAAACAAGTTCTATATTGAGACGTCGGTGGAAAATAATTTCGAATAAAAAATGTTAAAAATCACAACATTTAAAGTCATATAAGAAATAGTAGAACATAAACCCTATTTGTAGCAAATTCAATGTTTGCAAAATTATCAAACATTTAAAGTCCATTTATATAAAAGTAAAATATTAATAAAAAATGCATTTTATCAACTTCCCACGTAAGATAAGATATATTGAATTTACTCAAATATTATTATAAATATAATAGAATATTAATAATATTTTTTAAATTATTTGTCAACCAGACACATATTTAAATTATTAAGATATTCTTCCCCTCTCGTATTATCTTATATTTTTTAGGAGACTATTCTAATGAAGTAATGAATTATGAAGTAATAAATTTAGATTAATATTTCCCTTAAATACGATAGAATAAACTCTTTATGCTATATAGTTCAATTATATCGAAGTTGTTATATTATAAAAAATTTCTCTCCCCTTCCCTCAAAATCACTGCAGTCTCATTTTCATTCCTCACATCTCTTATGTCAAACCATCACTAATCACCTGTATAAACCTAAAACATACATCAAGCATTTGTACATTATGTTAAATATATTATATTAAATAAATATATTATCTTTATTTTTTTATATTTAATTAGTTTGTTATCATTATTTATTTATATTTTAGAATTAATTTATTGTTTTCTATTTAGATAAAAAAAAATTAATAAAAAACACAGTTATAATTTCATGAACATACAATTTTTATATACCTTTCTTATATCAACAAACAAATAGCTTTTTAATTTCACAAATATATTAGTTGCTACTTCCAAACACATATCCACAGTTTGCTGCGTTATTTTAACATAATATCGAAGAAAAGGTGTATTTTGTGTGTTAGAAAAAAAAACAAATAATTCAGAGTGCTGATGAAAACCTATGACACGGTATATACAATAGTATTAGGTCAAACTAAGAGCATTTACTAACAGATTGAGTCAAAATTCAGAAAAACACTATTTAGTCAAAAAAGAGGGTCTATTTTTGAGTCTTTTAAAAAGCTTTTTAAAGTTTGGTAGATTAGCTCATTTATATAAATATTATAACGCGTGATAATAATGTCATTGTGTAGGTATTAGACTCTTAAATAGCCTTTCAAATCACTCTGAATTTTGAAAAAGAGAAGAATCAAACCTAAAAAATGGACTGCAAAACAAGCTAAGCAGATCAAACTTTTTCATTATATTAAATATCTAGATAGACTCAAAGCATGCCAGCTTTAAAACAACTTATTTCCATCTTTCGTGTTATAGTTATAAATGATGTTCAAAAGGATGTGTTGAATCATATTTATATTTATAGATTAAAGATTTCATTGGTTTTATCTTACTTGTGATTCTTTAAATTTAAAGTAAACGACGGAATATTTTCAAAATCATTCTTTTACTCTTTTTATAGAAGTATATTATTGTTTATCAAAATATATTATACAAGTCATATACAAATTATGTCTTACAATACAATTTATGAGATTTAGTAAGGTATAAATTTATTTATTTAAATTATATTAAAGGATTTATTTTAACAATATTCGTTTAGATCACAACATCAATTTCACTTCATAGATTAATTTATACACATATTTTGAATTAATAACAATAACATTTATTTTGGAAAATTTTAAAATATTTATTGCGACTTTATTCGATCATGGTATTTAAAGCTGTCAAAACGGATCATCCGGTCCGACCCGACCCGGCCACCACGGGTTGATCACTTTAGTGAACCAATCCAACCCGGCTCATTTATTAGCGAGCCAAAAAAATTCGAATCCGACCCGACTCACCACGAGTTGGTGGGTAAACGGGTTTGCTCACTTAATTACAATTTTTTTAAATAAAAAAAATTACAAACTTTGTATAATTCAAATATAAACAAATTTCACAATGTTTAGTTAATTTTAAAAATAAGGAACTTAAATCATTTTTTCAAGCAAAAACAAAATAATAAATATTTTTTTATAAAATTAAAATTAAATTTTAATAAAATAAAATTATGTAGGTGGGTTGTTGGGCCAACTCTGCTCACCACGGGTTCAACTAGCATAAGTCAGGTTTAAATGAGTCGGATTTAAATCTGACCCGCATAAAAAAATACATTTTTTTCAGGAATTGTTTTCTTTTATGGGTTGATATTAAATTATTCATTTATTACAATATTTATCTATTAAAAAGTAATTATTCATAAAAAGTTACGATTTTATATTAACAATGTGTTATTATATACTAACATGTTACCAGTTCATCAATTGATAATTCACTACATATTGCAGCAAGTGTAGATTTCATAATTTATATTGATAATTTTTTTAATAAAATTTATATAGTGATGAAATAATTTGTTTTTTTTATGACGTGAATATAAACTATTATTAAATATTGTTTTATCATACTAATGCGGTACGATTAATTACAGCATCCATAAATAATATTAAAAAGTAACTATATAATTACATTAAATGCACAAATATAACAAAGTTTGTAATATTGTAGAGTCCTCTAACATGAGTATTTCAAATCTATATTTAACTTACGTTATTCTAAAATACATGTTAACATTAGATAACAACACCGCAGAAAAAACACGTAGATAAGTTAGAGTTAATTTAAAACATAAATTTTA